TATAATACTATATAAAAATTTAATATTAAATTAAACGTTAAAAAATCACACAAATCGATGTGTTCAGATATGAACTGCCTCGTTTTAAATGAGATGCAATCATCTAATTTTGGAACACACCGATTCTGTGAATACCAGCCATTTCAGGTCATGTGTTGAAAACGACCTAGCATGGCGGAGTTATTGCATGCATTTAGTCGTGAGGATAAATCTACGATAAAAACAGACGTTGTGGTGAATAAGTTAATTCTCTTTTGTATTAACACCAATATTTGAGTTTGCTTGAGTTTTTCATTTATCATACGTCGCATAAATAAAAAGTTTCTCAACGTGAATTTATTCACAATAAGGTGGTGTGTGCGTGTGCCAAGTTTAGATCAGTGAAAAAATTATAATTATTGTTCACGCGTTATTAACCCTAATTTTCATGAAAATATATTTCTTTTTTATTATTACGAATGGACGCGATTAATTATTTACGGTTTGAGGGTAAGTTTAAGAATGGCTAGCGATTTGTCGAGTGAGGGTACTGAAACAATAGGAGTGTTGGATGAGAAGGAAGAAGGTGAAATATCCTTGGAGGATGTAAGTTCTTCCGAGGAGGGACACTTAAATTACGGATATGGTACTAGGGTTTCTCAATGTACAAACTGTTTGTCATCTCAACATAATGCATCATGGTGCACTGCTCCTGCCAAGATTTATCCCTCCAGGAGCTGTAATAGAAGAGGTAATTTAAAAAGCACATTTTTTTTTTTAATATTTTTAAACAATGTCCAGTTAGAAGCACTTCCATGTTAAAAAATTTAAAAAATTTTTCATTGATTAACTTACAAAGATATTGTTTTACATATTCAGTATTATGTGCTTTACCATAAAAAATATAAAAAAATGTTATAAAATATTTCCTTTTTTATTGTTTATATACATAACATACTTTTGTGTACTGAACATTATTTGTTCAGATCTTATTATTATTTGTTCCACATGCAATGTATTATCATTCTCGACATATCATGTTCTAATCAAGTAGAAGTTGACCTTATTCTACAAGATGCAGTCCAGGGGAAAGAAAACCGTCATCAAATCAAAGAATCAGGATGTATCGGTACAAAACATATAGCCTCTACTCTTCAAGAAAAAAATGACGATCTTGTGCCTATTTCAAGTGACAGCGATATGGAAATTGTTGGTCTTGCAGATAATTCTAAACAAATTATAATACATTCCACTTCAAAGAGTCGAGTGAAAAAGAAAAGAAAAAAGAAGAGAAATCATACACCTGTAATGTCAATAGAGGATGTAGTTTCTTCATCTACTATGGATATAGTTATGACAGAGTGTGTTAATACATTAAAACATGATGTGACAAAAAATACTTGTAGACCACATCACAGAGAGATCAGTCCTGTTCATGGAAGCAATAGATCAAGAGTAATTCCAAGAACACCTCCCAGAAGGCATAGATCTCTTATAAGACCACGTTCTCCTTTCAAAAGATCAAAATCCCCACTTATCCATACTAGATCACCAACAATAAGAAGATCTCCTAGAAGACTTAAATCTCCTAAGCGGTCACCATATAGATCCTCAACAAAAGCAATGCCTAGAAAGACATCACATCCTGAATTGTCATCTCATAATTATGGTAATATGCATAAATTACTAAAAAAAGTCAGACAATTGGATTCAATGGGAACTCATTCATTAGAAGAAACTTTAAGTAAAAATAAAGAACATGCATCTTCGTTAAAAGAGAAGTTAACAAATATGATGAAGGGAGTTTCTGACAATAATAGTGACATCATAAATTCTTCAAAAGAGAAATCTACTGCACATGTCAATAACAATGTATCTAATGATGCAGACGAAGAAGAAGACTTAGCACTACTAAGACAAAAGGCCCTTGAAACAAAACAAAATAAATCCAACAAACAAAATGATCAACCAAAGACTGAAACTGCAAGGAAGGTAAATGTAAATATAAACGATGATCAAGATGAAGAAGATCTGAAACTAAGAATGATTGCACTTCGTTCTGCAGTGTTAAAAAAACATCAGAATAGAGTTCAGAAAGGCATAAAATCAGGAAAGAACAAAAAATCGAATGCTTCCCGCAGTGAAAGTCCGTTCACACAAAGCTTTTTAGATAGTATTCCCATACCTGGAGAAGAACTATTAAATTTTGCATCACCACCTCATACTCCACTTCCTATAAATGAAAATAATCATACAGAAGATATGGAAATAGATACAGATGTTGAAAGAGAAAAAGAAAAATTGCCATATTCTCCAACAGACAAAATTACTGCCAATATATCTATGGATACAGAGTTGTTAGGTATTCAACCATCTGACGTATCATTTATCAGGCTTAATGAAGCAAATAACAGTCCAAATTTTAATGCATCTATAATGTCTAGTCAAGATGATCAAAAATCTTATCAGGGGAAAATCATTGAAAATCGAAGTTACTTACCAAACATTGTATATTATGCAACATCTCAGAATCCATTATGTCCTACAAATGCAAATATGCAATATTTATCAACCAATCCAGAAGAGACTTCTAAACCAGATTTTATGAAAATACATAATTCTCATGCAGATGTGTATCAAAATACATGCAATATTGACAAAAATAATACTACTCCTGAATTTGTAGATATTAATTCAAGTCAAGAAATGCCTTATTCTCCAACTGATACCCCTGTATATGATCCTGACTTATCACATGTGCTTCCACAAACTCTTGGTCCACTTACTACCTCAAATTCTTCCTTAGTTTCTTTGGAATCATATGCTTCTAATGCATATGGAAATAGCGAACAATATAGTCAGGTGTCAATAACTCAAAATGCAGAAACCACAAAACAAGCCAATAATATAAATGAAGATGAACAGCTAAACAAAGCGGAAACACTTTCACTGGATCCAGTTATTGGATCTGCTACAACCTCTCTTACAGAATCTGTATCACCAAGTAGTTCAATGATAACTATTGATGATCTTCCTGAAACTGATGCAGATGCAAATCCACTAACTGATCCTCTTAGAAACATAAAATCTATAGAAAACATTCCAAATGATTCTTCAAATAATATTAAAGAAACAACATCAGAACCACTTTATATGAAGGGAATACCAGATGTTACCAAAGATATAAATAAAATACCGACATTAATCAACAGAACACTTGTACCAGCACCAATTTTGAAAACAAATAAACAGTTACAACTACCTTTACCTGCAAGAAAAGTTGCAGTACAACAAGAACCAACATTTAAAAGTGCAAAAATGCAATCAGTTGACATTAATGAAGAATCTAGTACAAAGATGAATGCTTCCTTCAAACCAATAAAGTTACAGTCCATCCCACAAAAGTCTCATTCGGTTTTAGACTGCACTGCATTTCAGGAATTTTTACATGAAGATACAACTGATGAAGTATCTGCAAATAAAACTGATACTTTGGTAGCAGATAGTAATGATAGTTCAACTCTGGTACAAAATAATACAAGTCCAAAAAGTTCTGATAAAATTTGTGATATTAAAAGTCCAACACAAAAAAAGAAGAAACTTCTAAAAAAAGGATTAAAAAGGAAAAATACTGAAAAAGTACCATTGCTTGCAAAAAGGCATGAATCATCATGTACAAATAGTGACAATATAAATATTGTAGATAAAGAAGATGATAAAGATAAAACAGATGATAAAGAAAATATGGAAGAAGTTCAGAAACAAATGGATATGGAAGAGAGTATCAATACATCTAACTTGGAAGCTTCAAAAATTATTGATGATGAAAACAATAAAATTTCCTCAGAAACAAATGAAGATGTACAAACTGATGATACTTCGGTTAATGATTCATTAGAACAAGCAAAAAGTACAGAAGATAGAAGGCAAAGTCTTGATGAAGATGAAGAAGCACTAAGAGCAATTTTATTAGCTTCTTTACCAAAACGAACAAAAACCACTAACAATATTCCCAGTTCAACAATAACTACAACAGTATCTACTGTATCAAATCAAGTGCTTGCAAATGAAACTGTATCAACAAATGTGTCTTCTACACTGGTCGGTGGAAGCGATACAACTAATACAACAAATGCTGATGTTGCAACATCTTTATCAAGTCCACCCATAACTTCATATGGTTCTGAAAATGGTAAACATCAATCAAATGCTGAAGAAAAAGTAAAACCTGTTGCACAAGGAGATTTATCTGTTGGAAGTGTTAAAACTTTGAATTCAGTAACTTCTGGGAGGAAGAGATCAGTTCCTATTATGAAAGGTCCACAGAAGAAACTTGTGAAAAGAATTTCAATTCCTGCAAGTACAAAGGTTGTAAATAACGCGAAAAAGTACCAAAATGCAATGATTCAAAAGAAATTAAATTTACAAAAGGCTACACTTTATAACAAACAAAAAATAGCAGAAAGTAAAATTATATGTAAAGTACAGTCTAACGACAGTAAGTGGTCTGCTAATGCAAAAACATTGTCTGATATACAAAGAATTGTCATAAATTTAGAATCTGACACGGAAAGTGACTCTGAATCGGAACGACAAAAAAATACAGCTGTTCCGTCGTCTAATTCTGTCACGGCAGAAAAACCTCAAGCAACGGTAAATTCCACAGCTGAGTTTGAAAAAAATTTAGATCAATTTTTACGTGCTGTACGAAAAAAACAAGAATCTATGGCAGCTGCAAGACCAACATCAATCTTACAAACAGCTAAAAAGGATACGGTATTAGCAACAAAACAAGACAAATCAAATTCGTCTAATGTTCATACACCATTGGTAAGAATACTCTACAATAAAGTATTTCATTGCTCATAAAATATTTATCTGTTTGTATATTTACAGGCCGTTCGTCATTTACCCGCATCACAGCAAGAGGAATATCGTCGATTGAAGCAACAAATTTTAGAACGCGAGAAACTGAAACTGCACAGAACTATAGAGAATAACAATTTAACGAAAAATAAAAGCGTAGAAGTACCTACAAAGCCTGCATTCCCCAGCAGCCCAAATAAAGAATCACATGCAAAGCTAAATCAAACAATATTAACAAAAAGTCCAAGTGCACAACAATTGAACAAGGAAAATTGTTCTAAAAATGTAGTGGATTCGGTAAAAAATACGTTTGTATCGTCGACCAACGTTCAACTGTGTACCAATAAAATAAATAATGTTGATAAGCAAGGAAATACAAGTCCGAATCAAACAAAAATAATATCAAGGCCTACAATAAATTCTAATATTCTTGTACCCACTGAAACCAATCCAAGCAACATTGAAAGCGAAGCAATTGGAAACTCTGTACAATCAACAAATACATCGCTGAAAATTTTCGAAACGTCTACCCCTAAAGCTCATACGAAAATTTTACCCGGTTTAAAAATTTTGTCCACGAATGAAGTAAACGAGAAGTATATGCAAGTACAAGTAACAAACGACAGAAACGAACGGGTGGTAACAATAAATGATAAAGTGACCTTAAGCAATAAAACAGTAATTAATCGAGATGAAAGTGTTTCTGGTAGTAAAAATGGTAATAATAAAGGTACGTGCGATTATGACATAAATCAACTTATACAAACCGCAGAGAAAGACGTGATTACCAATGATACTCCATCCGGTGATAACAATGTGATAGACTCAGATGCATCCACTACTATTTTATCAAGAGAAAATCAAAGTACTGGAAGGAAAGAAAGTATTGATACATCCGAATCCACAATTCGACTTTCACAATATGAAGAAGATAAACGTACATCGTTGAATTCGAACGCAGAAAATAGAGAAGACGTTCATTTTCTATTGTTCAAAAATAATACATCGCCAAAGGGTACAAGAAGTATAGAAGAAAATTGGGAAGCACTTAAAAAGTATGTGAAAACAGAGCTAAATACTCTTATTGATCTTTCACGAGCGGAACAAGAACAACGTTTAATGGATACGGAACAGAAATTAGTTCTGAAACGGTAATTACAAGCAGTCAAATATCTTTAATCATATATTAACGTTGAATATGTCTATATGTAATAATTTATTTGTATATATATGTTGTTGCTATAGCTATACAATCTTGGATGATTTGGCGGAAATGTCCGGTAATCTTCGCCAGTGGCACATGGAACGGGACTTACAAACAAATTTGGCCGCTGAAGTTAAAAAACTCCGAGAGCAGCTCAAAGTTGCTGAGGAGAGGTTGCAAGTGCAACGTAACCGTATTAATAGTATAGGTCCAAAAGTAGTAGCGGCGCATGGGAAGATCAACGCAGGCCGGCAGGAATGTTTTAAACTTGCAACTATTTGTTCAACCTTGGGAAGTAGTATTGTAGGAACAGAATACAAGTAATACATGAATCATTGAATGAAATAACAGTATCACTGAAAATAATTATAATATACTATATTAATAACATATCTGTTATTTTTTAGGGTACCTGAAGCTGGAGCACAACTTTTAGATTGTAGATTGAAAGAAGTAGCCAATCATACGCGGCAACTGTCACGAAAAAAAGTACCATCTATCGATATTTCCGAAACATATGAATCAAGACTGGGAGAAGAAACTGTTTCTACTACGTTTACAGAGGTTTCGGAAACTACAGATTTATTAGAAGAGTGTAATGTAGATAATCTTGATACAACGATTTTAAACAAGAACGAATTTCTAATAAAATCAAATGAAACTGAAAAAACTGTACAAATAGAAGTAACTACGGTAAATGTAAATGAAGCAAGTAAGGACGAAAGTATGGTACTAAATAATTCAGCTCCAAGCAATAATGAAAGGAGTATATCGGAAGAAAATAACACAGAACAAGAAGTATCTGCTAAAGAAACAAATTTAAGTGATACTCCTGTTGTTATTACTGGTAACCTTAATTCTGAAAATGCTCAAGACTTGAATAATAAAGAGGTAACAGATAGTAATGTAGTAGTAAGGCCTGCAACTTTAGAACCTGGCAGCGAGAAAAGGAATTGTACGAAACCCGAAGGAGAGTTTCAGGCGAAGAAGACGCTTTTACCTTATGAATCAATACTAACGTACTTTAAAGTACCAAGGTGGGTTTCGCTTTCTAAATATTTTCCTAATTTCAGTTTCTTTACGAATAATATAATGCTTTTCTAATTGAAATTTTCCACAAAAATTTTGAGCATTTTTTTTGTGTTTTTTATCATTCTTAACCAGGAACACGAATCCCAATGGCGTCCTTTGCCCATACGAGCTAATGGGAACCTGCAGTGATGGAGATTGTCAATTTGTTCATCAAACAGAGAATCAAGCCAAGTAGCATTTAGCTACTAAAGTGGCATTATTAAGTTATATGTAAGGTGGTTTTAATCTTTAATCATAAGATTCAAAGGACATTATCAAATAAGAATCAAGAATTTTATTGAAAGTGATCGTACTTTTATATAATTTACATTGGAACATTTTTTATCGTAAGTAAATGTTATTACTTTTATAATTGCAGGTACTATTTGTGAGGAAGCAATATCCCGTATAGAAGGCAAGAATCCTGTTAACAAGCAGAAGTAACACCTGAAGATGGTAAGTTGTCCTCATCATGGCAGGAGTTTGTGCACAAATTAAAGTAGCCATTTTATTACATAAGGATCTTAAATTTTAAATAAAGCAAAAATTTTAATACCGTGCTATTTCAAGCTTCTATTCTAACGAAAGTTTAGAGAAGATTTGCTGCAAGTGTTTATTTTTTACATATGTAAAAAGTGTCGTATATAAACTGCAAGTAATTAGTGTGGTTAATGTAAAAGTAAAAGAAGAAATTGTTGACCGATTGTTGAAGACAGCCGTACAACAGGCCAACGTGAGGCATTGCAACAAATATTCATTTCGTACTTCTATATAAGTTACCTCATAAAAGTCTTGTACCTGTATAATAAAAGATTGATATTTTTTTCTAATTGTGAGTTTATTTGTATGACGAAAATTTATGCGCCAGGTGTAAAACAAAATTTACTGTCTTATCTAAACCCCGTATTTATCACCAGGAAACTCTCCTTGAGTTTTTCCCTTATGCCACGGAAATTTACCCTCAGCTCTAAGATTATCCCAATGATGAATCCAAAGATTTGGACATATAGACGTGAACACTTGTTTGAACCAATTACATGCACTTGTTTCCTCTCCTAAAATATGTTTGCAACGATAGAAATCAGTGTACATTACCCAACAACGTAACGTTTGATTTTGTTGTTGAAATCTAAACAGTATTGAAAATTCATTGATAATGTTAGAGAAAACAGTTTTAATTGCAGAACTAATATGTATTTTAATGGAATTATTAAAATAAGAATATTTGGGAAATATAATAAAACACCTTGGATCATCACCAGGCATCGAAGTTTCTGTACGTGTTTTTTCTTCTTGTTTAAGACATGGATCATCTTCATCTACCTCTATAGTTATCTTTTTCTTCGGTCTTCGTTCGTCTGTTGCAGTATTATCATTTTCAATATTTGTTAAATGTGCATCATATATACGATGCATATCATCTTTATATTTATTTTTAAAAGTCCCTTTCATTTTATTACTTTCATCAGAAGCCATTGTTTTTTGAATTTATGCTTTACTTTTGAAGTTTTATAAAGGTATGTTAAGTAATGATATAGTCGTCGATGTTAATTAAAACATACTTTATTACATTGTGGCAATTCAAATTTTTTAAGTACGATGCATACGAATATACGTTTATGCATGTGAACGCCCTCTTTACATTCAAATATTTCTTGTCAATAGCTTATTAATTTTACTCTATAAAACTGATAAAAAAATATAATCTTAAAAAATTTAAACCAGATTAACTTTAATATCATTATTAAAAATTTCATTTGAACTATGATTATTTTTATTTTAAACGATAAAAATTTATGCCAATGAAACAATAGATACAATGTTTACATTTAGTATAGCCAACAGCAAAGTGCATGCAAATGAAGTACAAACATAGACGTATGAATGGCGGCATACGCAGGGAAACTATGAAAGCATACGTGTCGTTGGACAATTTTTGCAAAGTGTATTTTTCTAACATTTAAAAACGCTGTAATATAAGTATGATTTCACCAGGTCATTTACTTCTTTATGCTATTGTATTTGCAGTAATATGTATAATTGTGGTAGGTTCTTAGGTTATGCCACTACTTGTACGTTATTTAAATTTGTTAATGAAAAGAATATTATATATTTTCAGTTTTCTATAGCATTATTTATAATAACAGAACCACATCCACATATTTGGAGAGATGAGAAAGAAAAATATTTCTTTAATCCAAAGACAGAAAATTCTGAAGTTTTCCCATCTTTACATGACAGTTGGAGTGTACATTTAAGTGTGATTGTACCAGCTTATAATGAAGAGCAAAGATGTAAATATTAACTATGTTGCAGTAATTATAGTATTGTAAAATTATAATCTACTCATATGTTTATTCCATAGTACCTACAATGCTGGATGAATGTTTGGAATATTTGGAAAATCGTTTAAAAAATGGATGTACTTATGAAGTGATTGTAGTTAGTGATGGAAGCACAGATAAAACTGTAGATATTGCACACAATTATGCATTAAAACATGAAAATATTAGGGTACTAAATCTTGTTAGAAATAGAGGAAAAGGCGGTGCAGTCAGACTAGTTAGTAATAAAACACATTCTGCATTAAGCCTTACAATTACTATCACTGTTTTTTATTATAATTTATTTTATTTAAGGGTATTCTAAGTGCAAGGGGCAGTGCAATATTATTTGCAGATGCAGATGGTGCTACTAAATTTAGTGACTTAGAAAAATTAGATAACAGTTTAACAAGTATTTTAGGATGTAAGTTATTTTTTAATTTATGATTTAATGTATAAGATATTAAATATTTGATAAATGAATATCATTTTTTCAGTCAATTATGTAAACAACCCAAATGAAGTTAGTTCCTCTCATGCAGTAGTATGTGGTTCTAGAGCTCATCTAGAGGAAGAAGAAACAGCCAAACGCACATTTTTTCGATTATTGTTAATGCATGGATTTCATTTCTTAGTATGGTGTTGGGGAGTGAGAGGTATCAGGGATACACAATGTGGCTTTAAACTTATCACACGGGAATCTGCAAGAGCTATATTCCAAGCTTTACATGTTGAGCGGTGGGCATTTGATGTAGAAATGTTATATATTGCGAGAAAACTAAACATTCCTATTACTGAGATTCCTGTAAATTGGACGGAAATTGAAGGATCCAAAATAGTACCCCTTTGGAGTTGGTTACAGATGGGCACAGATTTATTTTTTATTTGGTATAAATACAAAATTAGGGCATGGAAAATAAAAAGATCTAAACAAATGTAATACAAGGGTATACAATACGCAAAAAACAAAAGTTTTTTTCATTCAACATTTCAATTATAAAAATCAAATAATTTTGTTAAATATCAGGGTTAATATGATAATCATAAAACATTTTTCCTTTGTGAGGATAACTTATATGTGTGAAAATTTATAAAGGTCTTTACTTTATTTAACAATCATACAAAAGTATGATGGATTATTAAGTTTTTACAACTGCATTATGTTAGGTTAATTTAACCAACTGCAAGGTACATTACCATTTTTTTTTCAATGTTTATTCTTTTACCTATAATAAACTTTGTAAGGTGTAATAATTATTAATAATAAAGAATATTTTGTAATCAGAAAATTTCATTCAATCCATACATTGATCATATTTTCTGAAATTTGAAATAATTTTCTAGTAACTTCTTCTCTTCCGTTAAAAACAACTAGCACTATATTATATACGCAAATCCAAGGTGTGTAAAACGACAGAATTCTCGTTGGTGTGACGTGTACGTGACGTTGATTGCATTTCTGCGAAACTTTTTGCAAACTCAATTCACGTTATTTTATTTCGTCTTTCATCATAATCACTTGCAAAGTAACATTGAGTAGTATAACTAATAAAGATAATTACCGTTCATTTTATATTTTACGACAATCAAAATTAATTTTAAAATGTCTTTTGTGTCGCCCATGCCTAGTCGAGAATTCCTCTGGGATGTTTTCCAAAGGTAATGTATTTGAATGTTGTTAATTTAGTTGATTGTTTCAATACATGTATTTTTTATATATGTTATCATAAACATTTTCCACAAGAGGAATATTTAAATATACTGAATTATGTAGTTTACCGTTAATTATATGTCGCTTATTCATAAATTATATGAATTATGTTAATACGTAGAAAGATATATATGTATTTATTTGTAGATTTAAAAATAATCCAAATAAAATTTCGTTAATAAATAATATATGCCATACATGAAAGTTTAATAATTTTAACTTGTATGTTACAGAGTTGACCAAGACAGATCTGGTGCAATTACTGCAGATGAATTACAACAAGCTCTCTCAAATGGGACTTGGACACCATTTAATCCAGAAACTGTTCGTTTAATGATTGGTAAGTATGTATTTTGTTCAAATATTTAAAATGACTATGTGAATTGCTAGAACCTTGAGAAATGTTATATTATTGGAATGTAGTGCATTTAACAGGATATTGCTCAAGTAGATTTTCCTGAATAGATTTGCATGGTCTTTTAAATTTTTAATATATCTTTAGTTAATTTTATTGGTGCAGGTATGTTTGACATTGACAAAAATGATCCTGGTTCTTCAGGTATGTTCGATAAAAATCAGAAGGGAACAGTCAGTTTTGAAGAATTTGGAGCTTTGTGGAAATATGTAACAGATTGGCAAAACTGTTTTCGATCATTTGACAGAGACAACAGTGGAAATATAGACAGAAATGAATTAAAAACAGCTCTCACAAATTTTGGATATCGGCTATCAGATCAAATAATAGATACACTTATCCGTAAATATGACAGAGCTGGCCGTGGAACTATTTACTTTGATGACTTCATTCAATGCTGTGTTGTATTATATGTAAGTATAAATTCATGTAACATTTATTATAAATTATTCATCATGCTTATTTGAAAAAGAAATGTATGTTTTATTATGCTTGTATTCACTTTCAGACATTAACTGCTGCCTTTAGACAATTAGATACAGATTTGGATGGTGTAATTACAATTCACTATGAACAGTTCCTAGGCATGGTATTTAACCTTAAAATATAAAGTATTTTTGTGCTTCATCGAAGTTATTCTTGCCTACCTTGGCGCCACGTTATTTATGATATAAATATTACACCAATTTTTTGATGCCAAAACTGGAAATTTTCGTATATTTTTTGAAATTTCCAGAACAAATTAAAAATCTCATATTTAATGTGCTTACATGTTCAAGTTGTTCAATTATAAAGAGTCAGTCATATGTATGTAAAAACATTCCTAAAAAAATTGTATAATGCTTGAGTGTCAGCATAAATATTTAACTATCACTATTTGTTTGTCACGAGAAGATAAAGATATATGTTGCTGAATTATTCATTAGAATGTTGAGAAAGAAAAGACATTTAAGAAATAATTGTTAAACAGTATGAAAAATTTTAAATACTTCTCATCTATGGAATAATAAACGATTGAGTCCATTTTAAAGATGAAACAAAAGGTTTTCCACAATTTACATAATTTCCTTCATGCAATGTACAGAAGAACAGATGTCAATTATTTATCAAAAACTGATATCAATCATATTACCTTTAGGTACTTTGTAATGTAATTTGTATTGTATTTTCTTACTACATAGTACTATTTCCTCCAAACATTATTAAATAGTATATAGGTTCGTTAAAACAGTTACAAAGTTTAAATTACTTTGTGCTTTCTTAGAATATAATTATATGTGCTACTTTAATTATGTATAAAATCTATATTTCTGTACTTTTTTATTATTATTGAACTGAAAATAAACATATTACACACCCATTTCGTTTATTAATTATTATTTTAAGAAAAACTGCGATTATTATTTTCTAGCATATAAAATAAAGTCAAATAAATTTACACAGTAGAATAATTTACAAATACCACAAACAATAATTTATATATTCTTTAGAAGCATACTCTCCAGATTCAATCGTTCATTTCTTGTTTGTCGCGAAGTTGGGTAATGATAATCTAAAATAAAGGATATATTAATACGAAAAAAGTATTTTTAAATATTTGAAAGATATAAAGAAGATTAGTCTGTTTTTATCATGAACTTGGGAGGTTTCTGTCAATCTCTACCAAAAGTGGTAAACAATTAAAAATTTTTATGATCTACAGCATATAGGTTAATGCTTGCTTTTCGAATATTTTATATAAGAATTGTTTGCTATGTTTAACAGGAACTTCACGCTCACTTAAATGGATCCTTAAGCACGGATACATTAAAGAAATTATACAAACTGCAAAATCCTAATTCAGAAGGTTGTGAAAACATAGTTATGAATGTCGAAAACCTTTCGTCATTAGGCGAGTACGAACGATAACTAACTACTTATTAAGTTTTATTTCTTTCTATGCATTATATTAGTTTATTATACTACAGATCTGTACTAATTGCTTATAGATGTTTCAAAGTATTTGACATTGCACATTCATTAACAGTAACACCAGAAGCAGTCTTTCATTCTACTTACAACACAGTTAAAGAATTCAAAGAAGATAATGTGATATATTTGGAACTTAGAAGCACTCCTCGTGCTGTTCAAGGAAAAATGACAAAAGAAGAATATATAGAAGCAATTATAGAAGCATTCGAGTAAATACATTTTAATTCAAATGCCTTTTGTCTTAAAAAAATTAAAAAGTTAAACCGTTCTTTTAATGCAATTTTGTTTTGTAATTATAGAGTCTGTCAGACAGATTTTCCAAGTATATTAACAAAGTTACTACTTTCTATTAATCGTAAACAAGGGTACAAGGCAGCCCAAGAGAACATAGAATTAGCAATACATTTCTCTAAGAAATATCCACAATATATTGTAGGACTTGATCTCAGTGGAGATCCAATGACAGGAGGTGCATTTCTTGAATTATTAAAAAAAGCTAGAGTGGCTGGTCTTAAAATTGCAGTTCATTGTGCAGAGGTAAAATGTAGTAATATTGTTATGTTTAAACTAATGCTAATTCAATTAAATTTTTGAATATGCCAAGTACTTTTTTCCCATATAGGTTTCAAATGAAACAGAAACAATGGATATTCTTGAATTCAAACCAGATAGATTAGGACATTGTACTTGCATTCATCCCACTTTGCAAGGATCAGAGAGATTATTTACTATGCTTCTTAATTCGAAAATTCCTGTAGGTAAGAGTGGTAAAACGACGAAAATTTATTAGTCAAATTTCACAGGAACATATGAAATGTTTGTTTCTTATTTTTTATCTAGAATTATGCTTAACATCGAATGTTCAATGTAAAACAGTACCTGCATATGAATCTCATCATTTTAAATACTTACACGAAGCTGGACACCCTGTTTGTCTTGCTGTGAGTGAAGTTGTTAATATTTATCTAAGTATTCATCCTAAAGATAACGTTTAATTTTTTTTAGACCGATGATAAAGGTGTTTTTCATACATCTTTATCCCAGGAATACGAAATAGTTAGTTCAACGTTTGGTTTAGGATACGAAGAACTCGTGAAGCTCTGCCAATCGTCCGTACAATACGCTTTTGCCACGTCAGAAGAGAAACAAGCCATGTTGTCTAAGATTGAAAATTTTAATCATAAAATGTGTGATAACATGAATTAAAATTTTAACGAATCATCGCTTACGAAACTAAAAATTGATATCGGTATGTAGAAATTCATAGCGTATCAAGTGTACAAAAAATTATAATATTTTCGTAAACACAAGCACTCGGCCAAATTAATAAAACAAGGTTCGACGCGAGACAGGAAATACGACAAAAGCAAATATGCGTGACATAAGAATACGTAACGAGGTAGCAGGACTATTGATATAAAAGTAATGTCGATTTTATTCGTTATGATATTCGTGGGCTCGTTTACATGGATTTACAGATAACTAAGTCGCTACTTACGGAGACTATAATAGTTAAATGTCATCAGTGTTTCATTTTTTTTTTTTTCTTCAATATCATATATAATATATACAACATTTATAATAATTATTACAATATCATGCCTGTAAATGTGGTGCATCTTTGTTTCGACATTGATGAAGAAATTAGTAATACTTGCAAACCGGCGCCAAGTCGCCGATTTGATAAACATTAACGATCGTTTCGTAATCTATTAAAATCACAATCAAGTGCGTCGAAACTATAAACTTTGTGTGTTTTTTGCGAGTTTCGTTTTTCTTTTCTTTTTTCACCTGCTATACCATTAACAACGTTGCTTATCTCTCTATCGAATTTTCGTTCCTCAATTTTGCAACCTAATAAAAATTAAAAAAGATCAAACTTAGCACCACTTGAAAAGAAAATTTCTAAGAAAAAAAAAAGCAAACCGTGTATCGTCGTTAATATTCCGAGATTGTCGAGGGAATCGTCTTCATTTTCGCGCGAGACGACCAGGCGTCACGTCTCAGATAAAAAAAAAAAGAAGGGTATCAGCTTATTGCCGTCACGAGAAAACGGGAGCAACAAGGATTACATTTTTCATTTCGACGCGAATATTTTATGAATTTTTTTCTTTTTTTTTTGTCCTTTTATTAGAACCGTTACTCGCTATCACGCCATAACAAGGTGATAATAGTAAATAGCTGGATAATACTAATAGTAATGATAGGAATAGCAGTAATATAGTCGTAATATTAATATTGACGATGACAATAATATCGTTCTTAATAATCATAATAAGAAATTATTTCTACCGTATATAATTAATATTCGTCCTATGTAACAGTCTTTTTGGCTAACCTTCGAGCTATAAACAATAAAACAGTTTCTCTTCCCTTTCACACACGTCATTTCGCAATCGATTCGCAAATCCTCACGATCCTCCATATAATCTATTATTTTTAATCCGCCTTTCTCATAAATGTTCGAAGATCGACGAAAAGTCGTTTCGTAACAACCCTTTTCTCTGTCCGTAAACTATGCCCTTTCTATTACTGTCGCGCGTAACTATTCTCTAATATCTTACCTCCGCTAAGTCTGTATATATCCTAACCACTATGACTAAGGACCATTTTACCCCTCGTTCTCACCCGCCTTTACGAGATAAACGTTCTCTCTGTCTTCTAACGGGGATATCTTTCTTTTCTCTTTCTCTCATTTCTGCATGATTCTCTTTCTGCGCGTTTTACATACTAAGCATTATGTAAAGTTGAACGACGTTGTATCTACACATCATTTATAGACACCGGTCTGCTTGCCGGGTGTTTCACACGTTTCACAGTTTTCTCTATCTCTCTCTCTCTCGGCTGTGATACGAATCGCGATCGAACTGGCCCTAATCGAAAACGCGTGATTATCTATCGTTGGAAAGATCAAAAGGAAACAAACTGGAAATGAAGAAGAAAAGAGAACTCGACGAGACGCGTGGGCGGCGACAACAGCGGAGAAAGTGCGACACTTGTGGAGAGCGAGCGGACATAAACGTTTGCTGATTGCTACACGGCGATAACTAAATGCTTGTTTCTTTTTCTTTTTTTCCTTTTTACCGACAAACGTTCGTATCCCTCTCTCGAGTGTCCGTTACAAGAAAAAAAAACGCAAAAAAAAAAAAAAAAAAAAAAAAAAAAGAAAAAAAACGACAGAACGAAGAGGAAGAAACGGGCAGCGGCGATTCGTCTTTTCGTTTTTCGTTCGATTACGCGGAGAGAGATTTCGTGGAAAACGGTTGCGAACGAAAAGCGAACGATCATGCGTAGATACCACCCGATTATATATATCTATATATACTTCTTTTTTCTTTTTTTGCACAAATCGGGCCGTAACAAAAAGAAAGTAGTAAAATAAAAATAAAAATTATTCG